CTTTATGCATAATTAAAAACAAACAAACAATACTAATCATTTTGCATTTTTTCTAAAATCGTCTCCTATACTTAACACGTATCCTTCGATTCATTAGACAACTGGCCCGTCAGAGGTATATAATGCCATGACAATAGTCGCTAGTCAAAGTTGCCATTAAACGTCACTTATTCTGTCAGAAAGTACACACACAAACACTACACTTTTAACCCAAACGATCAAATAAGTCACATTTTAAAGCATAAATGTATAAAGGTTTTAAAATGATTTTTATACTAAAATATTAATACTGATTACATCTAATAATAATAATATCAATAAAACTGTTATACAGCTGATGAGATCCTTTTCGTGATACTTTGATTTATAAATTATATCAACAAAGCTTCTGTTTTGTTAACCAGTAACTTGGGCTATCCTTCGCACAAAATTAACCAAGCTCTTGTACTCACTAAAATATTCCCCCCAGTGGCCCAGCGGAATGTCTGCGGACTTACAACGCTAGAATCCGGGTTTCGATACCCGTGGTGGGCAGAGCACAGATAGCCCATTGTGTAGCGTTGTGCTTAATTACAAATAAACAAAACAAACACTAAAATATATTTTGTCTAAAGTGCGTTAAAACTGCATATTAAATATGATCTCGAATAAATTCCGTATTGATGTTACTTACGTTTAAGGGCGCGTGGTTTAGCCTGTTTTCGCCGAGACATACCAGTATGTGGTGATTACTGACAGGTGCGAAGCTCTTGAAGTTGCCACGAAAGAGTAGACGTGACCGATTGGATTCACAAACAAAAAAAAAAAAACAAGTGATGCTGTAAATTAGATTAATATTAATCTTAATCTCTTGCTAGTAGAAACCACTTTCTACTGCTGTTTGTTACCGTCGAAGCCTGCCTGTATTGGAGTCAATGAGGAAAGATTATTCGCAGACAGGCACGAACGCTGAGTGTGGGCAGCGAAGGGTGATATTCAATATAAACTGGGCTCTGATTCGAAGCTACGTCACGAAGACAAAGTCCCAGCGGGACGTGGCATCCCCGCAGGAAATGAGCGCAGGCGTGCCGACTGCAAGGTACGAGAAGGCGGTGGCATCAGGAGCTTTTAGGGACTTCTGTTGCGATCGAACGCAAAACCAACTCACTTATTATTATTATAATTCAACTGAAGTTTTGGAAATTATATCCGCTGATTACTGATTAAACGCTGCAGCTTTTTGTCTAAAGGATAATGTATTATTCTAGAACAATGAATATCGCTGTTCTGTTAAAGTATCAAAAATATAATGAATTTTATTCCCCCATTATCAACCGCCTGACAATAATCGTTATCTCATACTGGACGTACTTTTTGTTTACTTCCGGTCTTGCGCACTACTACCCTCAGTTCTGAACACCGAAGTCGAGATGTTGGTGACAGAGGGTGATTTGAAACACATTTAAAATATTTGAAATGCAATCTAATTAAATAATCACAGCTTTCCGACGAAATTAAATTGAAATAAATACAAAACAAAACTTTTGTTCATATGTAATTGAACAAATAATAAACCACCATGACAGCATCAGATTTTTTATAAGAAAGGAACAATTTATGACAAAATTATTTTGTTTTTTAAAAAGTTTAAAAAATAGAAAGATTATATTTGGTTGTTTCTAAATATGCAGGTCCGAATATGACATAGTGGTTCGAGTCATAGTGCTATCAAACGAGCTACACATTTTTCAGCTGAGGGTGCGTTATAAGAGAAACGGTCAGTCCCGCTACTTTGTTAATAATAGCCGCTTCAGGCTGCAGGTACTACCGATTGGTTATCTTTCCTCTAGTGATCTCTGACCAGGTCATTTAGATTATTGTGTTCCCAATGCGTCGTTCAGGTGAACAAACAGTAGACACGTAGAAACACTTTTACGAAGTTATTTTTCAAGTGTCATACCGTCATTTTAAAACAAATGTCGTATTCTTAATGCGGATTGTGTACGACCAAGTTTTCAGTACGTGTAACATACGATGATGCAGAATGCTACAAAATTACTGTCTTCTCGTTTAGTTTTACTTGGATAGGTTTGTTTAGTAACGCTAACATGAAACTTATGATATATTTATGATATAAAGTACCTACACTACTACTATGTTTGTCGTACCCCAGCCAGCCTGATGAGCTCTGGTATCAGACGAAAGGCCTTGTCGGCATTTAAGTATGGTTGGCATATTATATTGTTTTTACTGTCACTCGTAAGTTTTTAGAATTGAATATACATTATACTCCGTCATAGGAAACGGAATATTTACATGAAGTAAATTTCTGTTAAAGTATATCGAAGCCAGTTACCTTTTTTTACCAATTTATTAATAAGAACTTTCGAGTTAAATTAAATAAGAATATATAATACAACCTTAATTCCTTTCCAGGCCATTTGAACCTGCTGTGTATAAAAAAAAAAAAGAGTTGTTATATGAGGATTTGTCACTGAAACATGACCATCGAGGAGGCTTCATCCGTTGACACGATGTCCAAATAAAGCAAAATACGTATATATCGGACACAAATATTGGATAGTAGGTCTGATAAAGCCGGAAAACAATAGTACGTTTATATTTCCAGAGCTCCCACCCTTACTTTGACAAACATTCTTCATGATCTACTGATGTTTGGTTCAGCTCAAGTTCGTGTTCAGCCATTATTTTGTGTATCTTTATTATACATCAATATTAACAAGCAGTAAGCTGTTCAGTGCATAGCTTATATGATTTGAGACACTGTGGAAAACCGCGAGCATGAGTTAAATACAAAACATTTTTGGATTTTAATTACACCATAGGAATACATTGAACACCAGCGTCTTCCGATGAGTTGTTTAATAGTAAACTTGGACGAAACGAAACGATTTTTTTTTTGGTTGTGGTATTTGGTATTTGAATGTACAAAATTTATAAAATATGAATATATTGCTGTGTATTTAAATTAATTAAAACAGTTAAGTGACCTGTCGAGACTACTCACGTGTGAGGTTAGATACGTAGAGTTCTGAACAAATATGATGGCCGTGCAGGGCGTATCAATGACTGCGAGGTTAAACCTAAGTAGGTAAAACTATTCCACAACACGTGATACCCACGAAACACTTCTAGTACAAAATACAATTTGAACCGAATGGTCTGATCAAAAATGACAAATCTAGTAAGACACACCACATCTAGCAACGCTTTCAAAACCTGAGTATCGGGAGCAAGTATAAAAACTCAACAGGGTGACAGTACCTGTACTCTAATTGTCTGTAAACAAATGACGAAATTCATACATAAACAATGCTGCATAAGGTGGGACTTTGTGGGATGACAGATCCATTCCCCAAATATTAGGTCGTCAAGAAATTAATGTCGCTTTTTTAGATGAAAAAACACAAATAACTTAGATATCAAAACAAAACATTTATTAAGTGAAATGGTCTCCATTCTTATCGATGATGTTTTTCCATCTTACCATCAGGTTGTTATTGTCTTAATTAAAGAAATCACTTGGCTTTGGTGCAAAAAACATGTCAATGTCCTCTTTAACACCTTCCACATTTGCATACATTTTCCCGTTAAGATGGTGTTGCAGACAACGAAAAAGATAGTAATCTGATGGTGCCATATCTGGAGAATATGGTGGGTGGGGGAGAACTTCCCAACCCAACTCCACAATCTTGTGTTGCGTCAAACGTGCCACATTGCCACATGTGGACGTGCATTGTCGTGGAGAAGAAGAACACCTTTCCAATTGACTGGTGAAGGGAGTTTCTGATGAAGGGCTTGATTTAAACGTTCCAGTTGCTGATTATAGATCTCTGTATTGACAGCACGCTGTGGATTGAGGATTGATGTCCCACCAAATGCAAAGCATCACTTTCTGCGGATGGAGTTCAGTGAGCCATTGTTTTTGGCGTTTAATATTCGCATAGAGAATCCATTTTTCATCACCGGTGACAATTCTGTCCAAAAATGGTTCACGCGCAATACGCGCCAGAAGAAATGGAGCAACGTTCACACGTTGGAAACGATGTTCATCGGAGAGTTCGTGAGGCACCCAAACAACTTCTTTATGGAGTTTTCCCATATTATTTTGATATTTACGTATTATTTCATGAGAAACATGCAATTTCAGGGCCATTTCACAAGTTAGACTCAACAAGCATCTTCAGAGTATCATTATCAATTCCAACATGTCGGTCCCTGCCATCGCAGTTATTAAGGCTAAAGTTACCTGAACGAAATTTGCTGAACCATTGTTGACACTTACGAACGTTCGAAACATTTCCATAAGCTCCTTTGATATTCTTTGTAGGTTTTGCGTTGTTTCCCTTCTTGTATTCAAACAGCATTACATGCCGAATGTGTGTGTCTCGTCGTGTGCCATCGCTATAAGCGATTAGAATATACTAAACTTCACA